CTATTTGTTATCTTACTTCTATCATTGACAGTCCCTCTAGGTTGTGGGCTGCTTGCCTGTGTTCCTGAGAAGCATCTACGGTACCAGTCTCTAGAGTGTGTTTTCTTTAGTGAATTACCGGTATGTTTACCGGTAATAAACTTGCACTGTTTTATGTATATGTTTGATTACATACAGCCTTGTGACAGTTTTCCTGCATGTCATAAGCATTTGAATATAAATTAAAATGTTAAAATCAAATCTGATATTGTTTTACCTTTTATTTGGTGTGTGGAAGGTGTGCGGAAGAGGGGGTAGTCTTATACGGCGAGTATATAACAAACTCTGTATTTTGAGTGGAAATGTTAGGGGGTCGTCTTATACGCCCAGTCGTCTTATACGCCGGCAAATACGGTAGATTTGATATCCTGTACGGTGCTAGCATTTTCCACTTACCCTCGTGACTGAAGATACCGGTGACTCCAATTAGAACTGTACTCTGTTTACCGCCTTGGCCTTATTTGTAATTATTCTATCCTGGTAGAACTGTTAAAAGGGCAACTATAATAAGGTAGTTCCAGAACCTTTCAAAGCAAGAAATGTGTGCTTCTCCTGTTCTAACCCTGCTCATGAACTGCATGAGTTGCCCAGAAAGCTCATCCATTTTTTATTCTGTTTAGAGAGTGTAAACATGATTGGGTGATCGATTGCAAAATATCCTTGTATGGTTTTCAAGGATTCTGATCTTCAAAAGCATGATGGTCTTCGCTTCAGAGTTGTGATGCAGGACACTCCTCAGGGAAGTCCCGAGCTCCCTCTCCTGTTTCTCATGTATTCCTATTTGCCGGGGTTATTTTTCCCCCAATCCTTAACTGAGGATATGTTTTTGTTGATTTGAGAGAGAGAGGCCGGGAAAGAGAGAGGGAGAGAGAAAAACATTGATGGGTGCCTCCCGTATGTACTCCAGCCCGCCACCTGGGTCTGTGTCCTAGGAATCGAACCTGTAACCTTTTGGTGCCAGGACGGCGCTGCAGCCGACTGAGCCCCCAGCGGGCTGTGCTTGCGCTTTGGGCAGAGGAGGAACAGCAGGGCGTGCTCTGGGGAGGCAGCCTCGCCTTCCAGGTGCAGGGCCCAGGTGTGACCAGGCGCACAGGTGCCAGAGCCACTTCCTGGCTCTGTGGCGAGGCAGGGCCTCCGAGTCCAACCTGAGCAGCGCGGGGGGTGGGCCTGCTGATCGCTGGCTCGTGGGCTGAAGAGTTAGTGACAGCAGGAGTGGCTCCGCGTGGCTGTTCATTTCTGGGAGGGAAGGTGTGCACTCTTGCCAGCCTCGTCTCCATTTTAACGTGATGGTCACATCTTTGGTCTAAAATCTCCCGATGCTATTTTTCTAGGCTCTTGGGATGCTCTTTTGGCACAAGCATAACATTGAGAAATCCTTGGCTGACTTGCCCAACTTTACCCCCTTCCCAGACGAGTGGACTGTGGAAGACAAAGTCTTGTTTGAGCAAGCCTTTAGTTTCCACGGGAAAACTTTCCATAGAATCCAACAGATGGTAAGTAGACGAGACCCGAGGGCCCCACCCCCCACCCCCCAAGGGCATCCAGGGGCAGGGGTATCTAGCACTGAGGCAGGAGGCCTCATTCCAGGAAAGCTCCCTTTAGGCTCCCCCTGGGTGTGGGGGGGGTGGGGGGGGCGTGAGGCTGCAGATTACTGTAGGGAGCACTTCCTGGCATTTCCCAGCCTGAGGGCCGTGACACCCCCTTTGTTCAAGCCAGGAAGGTTAGGGAAGTCTACGGAAGGTTAGGAAAGGCTAGGGAAGGTTAGGGAAGGCTGGGGAAGGTTAGGGAAGGCTCTTGTGGTTACTGAGGAGATGGCGCCATGGGGTCTGCCTCCCAGGGAAGGGCTGCTTTTCTCTCACACTCTGGAGTGCTTCTGGGTGGGCTCCTACCACCTTGCATTAGGGCTCAAATGAGCTTTTTTAAAGTTCCCCAAAAGTTATGTTAGAAACTTGAGGTGTGTGGAAACGGATTCATCTTAAACTGCTGTTTCGCTTACAGTCACACTTAGTCATTTGAAAATGTATGAAGAACCTTTCATGATTCTCCTTGTTGTGGAGGGGCTGTGACTTATGGCATTTCTGAGGACGTGAGCGCGACCCTGTAAGTGGGTCTAAGCACGTTTGATTCTGAAAGGTTAGTTTTAAATCTAAGTCAGCTCTTTCTTACATTTAGCTTCCTGACAAGTCGATAGCGAGTCTGGTGAAATTTTACTACTCGTGGAAGAAGACGAGGACTAAGACCAGCGTGATGGATCGCCATGCTCGCAAGCAGAAGCGAGAGCGGGAGGAAAGGTCAGTGGCACCGGGGTGCTGTCCTCCCCGGGGGACCTTCGGAGTCGCTAGAACGCTGTGAGCTGGTGGACACACAGGCGAGTCGTGGCTGCGTTCCCCCAGGGCCTTCCTGATGGAACCAGACTCACAACATGCTTCCCTCGCTGCTGACGCCGTGCTCACGCACCGTGTCATTTCCTGCCGCACTTTTCCCGCCACTCTCCTGCCAGGAAGCTTCCCCACACATTCTTTCATGCCCCTTAAGGGCGGCTTTTTTTAAATAAAAATTGATTTTAGAAAGAGAGGGGATGGGGAATACCAATTAGTTGTTGCACTTATTTATACATTCATTGGTGAACTCTTATATGTGCCCTGGCCAGGGATCAAACCCACAATCTTGGTGTATCAAGATGATGACGCTCCAACCACCTGAGCCACTGGGCCTGCGCCAGGGCGTCTTCTTTAATAGCAGGGATCTGTTCTTTCCTGGGCGTCGTTTTTAAATCAACTTTTTTTGTTACTCCTCACCCGAGGATATTTGTCCATTGATTTTTAGAGAGAGTGGAAGGGAGAGGGGCTGAGAGAAACATCGATGTTGGTTGCCTCCTGCAGGCGTCCTGACCAGGGCCCAGGCCTGGGAGGATCCTGCAACCAAGGTACATGCCCTTGACCGGAATCGAACCCGGGAGCCTTCACCCCACACTCTCTCCACGGAGCCACACGGGCCAGGGCTCTGGGTGGAGCTCTACCTGCCGTGCTTGCACGGGTGCACTTGGCATGTGCTTGTGCTCCTTCCCTTTTGACTGTTTTGCACGCGTGAGTGAGAGAGAAGCATTTCATGGTTTCTTAGTGAATGCGAGTTTCACAGCGAGTTTAGTGAAAGGATGCGTCGTCCTCAGGTCCTCGGCCCCTGTAGGCACGGCGCAGGGGGATGGCCACGCGGGCGTAGGCACCACGGTCCGCTGGAAGGCCCTGGCCCCGGCCCCTCAGCTGCAAAGGAAGGCGCTTCAGGGCCAGGCGCCAGCACACAGCACAGTGGTCTTGGGGTGAGGCTGGTGGTAATATAGGCGGCTTTTTAAAATTACATTTTCCATATTTTGCGTAATATATTATTTTTGTAAACTAGTGATAATTTGGCCCCACCTCAGAAGAGTATTATGATTTCAAATGAGAGAAAACAACACGTGGGAACGAGTTGAGAGCTGAGCTCTCCGGGAGAGCTCGTCCCCCCACCCCCACCCCGGCCCCCGGGTGACATGTGCGACGCTGAGCACCGCCACGCTGACCTCAAGGCGCCTGCTGTGGCTTGGTCTGCAGCACGCACAGGGCATGTCAGCGTCTGCTCAGCACTCATGACAGAGAAAGGCGGCCACCCTCCCTACCGAGTGTCTTCAGTGTGGCAGCAACTTTGCGTGGACATCGTTATTTCCGTGATATGTCAGGTCTCGTGCACTGAGTGTAAGGTCGGTTTATTACTGCAGACAGATGCAGTCTACCCACTGAAAGCAGCTTTAAATACCAAAACAGGCTGGGACTTGTGCTGAGTGTGAAATGACGCCCCAGGTGGTATGTTGCTCCCACCTCCGGCGGGCACGTCACTCCCCGGGATGCAGGCAGGAGGCGCCCGCCAGGGCAGAGGCCCGGCTTGTCTCTGCTGGGACCTGCTGTGGTGCCAGGGCGGGGACGGGGCAGAGTGCCCTCAGCCCAGGCTCTTTCTTTCCTTCACACTCTTACCACCTTGGGCCGTGGAGGTGGGGATAGACAGGGGAGTGGTCTCTGGATGCAAGTGGGATGTGGCTGTTGGCGTCAGTGGGCCAGAGGCAGGCTGCTGGGCCTTGTTTTCTCGTTTCCTAGTGACCTTCCCAGGAGCTCTTGTCCTCTTTACGCAGCGGCTGCAGGGAAGGCGTAGCCAGAGCACTTGCAGCAGCCAGGGCCTTGGTGGGATGGACTGACTCTAAGTCCCAGTTGCTCCCGCCTGGGGCCGCGGGCGGCAGGCGGGTCCCTGAGCAGAGGCACTGCACTCGTGAACATTCTCGGTTGTGTCTAAAGGTCAGGTCCCAGTTCTCCACCAGATAATTATGGGGAAATAAAGTCGATGTCTTAAATTTCATATTTTCAGTTGAGAAAAAATATTTATATAAAGCAACAAGGTTGTAGGCCAGTTTGGGAGTGAGAAACCCATTTTAATAGTTGATTTTAATCATTTAGACTAAAGGAACTGTGGGATTGGTATTTTATTTGAATTGTAAAAATGTTTTTATCTCAGAGTCTGAAAACATACTAATTTTATATCATATCAATGTATTTATATATTAAGTAATTAATACCAAATAACCTTTCAGTCACTTTTTCTTGTCTTTCAGTGAGGATGAACTGGAAGAAGCAAATGGAAACAATCCCATTGACCTTGAGATTGATCAGAACAAGGAGAGCAAAAAGGAGGTATTTTTCCCCGTTAGGCAAATAGATATTACTGCTAGTTCACACGCAGACATTCCTTCCTCTCTCTTACTCTGCGAAGGCATCAATCGCTTGTGGCACAGGGCGTCCTGATAGGCATTTTGAGCAATAATAACCGGGCCTTAGCGAAGTTGGCCTGTGCTCGCCAGGAAGCATGAGTCCAGGAAGTCTTGAAGGAAAGATTGCAGTGACGAGTGACAGTGTGTCTAGCGGAGTCCTCGCTGCCACCTTTCCGGCGCTGGCTCAGCGCCTCAGAGAGGGGTGCTCCCAAGGCCAGGCAAGGGCGCGGCTCCCCTCGGCCCTGGCTCCCCGCACCGTCACGCCCTCTCAGCACACTCCTCTCCTTCCTCAGAAGCAACAGCGCCGGTCACAAGCTGTGCCTCCCGCGGTGAAGTGTAATCGCTCACATCGCGAAAGGCATATGCCGGAGGTTTTTAGTGCTTGGATTCAGGGGCCTGCCTCACAAAACCCCACAATTGTGGGCGACTTTTGTAACCTGTCCACTGAGAATAGGGGTGTTGGGAATTTAGCCTTTTGACACGGGGGTCGCAGTCTGGCATTGTTTTGTCCATTCATAACATTGACTAAAGCACTGTGGGCCCTCCGAGGAAACCCCAGCCCGGGCTCTGGGGGAACCCCACAATCCAGCACTGCCTGCAGCAGGCCGGCCACAGGGTCCTCAGGCTGCGGTGCTGGCCCCACTGTGGGCAGGACCTTCACTGGCAATCACGGGGGTTGTTCTGAAGGCAGAGCCTGCAGTTTCGTAAACTCGAGGGTTCTCTATCTCACAGGCTCTGAGGTCTGAGAACGCTGCTTCAGGCAGGAAAGTAGAAGGGTCTAGACAGGCCAAACCTTGACATGACACCAGTACCATGTGCTTCTTATGGACAAAGTACGAAATACAGCTAACCCAAAGGAGAAAATGAAACCACTTACACCGTAGTCACCATTCACACGTTCCTCTGTAAGGAGCGTGTGTGCGCTGGGTAGCTCAGTTGGTTAGAGTGTTGTCCCTATCCACCAAGGTTGCAGATTTTATCCCTGCTTGGAGCACATACAGAAATCAACCAATGCATGTATAAATAAGTGGAACAATAAATGGATATCTCTCCCTCCCTCCCTCCCTCCCTCCCTCCTTCCTTCCCTCTCCCTTTCTCTCGCTTTCAAATAAAATTTTAAAAAAATGTTTTTAAGTGGCCCTAGCTGGTTTGGCTCAGTGGATAGAGCATCGGCCTGTGGACTGGAGTGTCCTGGGTTCGAGTCCAGTCAAGGGCACAGGCCCAGGCTGCAGGCCTCGTCCCAGTAGGGGGCATGTAGGAGGCAGCCAATCAATGATATTCTCTCTCATCATTGATGTTTCTCTCTCTCTCTCCCTCTCCTTTCCTCTCTGAAATCAATACAAATATTTTTTAAATGTTTTTAAGTATATGCCTATATACTTAGTTCTGCGTAAATATTTATTTTAAAATATATAAATGGGATCTTTATATATAAATTTTATAACCTTTCAAATTTACTCTGTTTATGTCAATACATTTGTATACACAACTGTGCCGGGGCTGACCGGCGGGCCTGAGCGACAGATGAGTGATGACACTCACACACGTTTCTGTGAAAGAGAGGCCAAGGCACTGCTTGGCTATGGCCGCCACGTAGCCCTGTTCTGCCGCCTTTGGCTTCTGTGGTCACAACAGCCTGAACTAAAATTAACCTCTAGACACAATCAGCAGGGCAGGCTGATGGAGAAAGCTCCTGCTTCTGCAAGGCCGGGCCTTAAAAGACTAAACAGAGATTCTAGCAAAACACCCCGGGGATCGGACTTGGGGAGAAGTCAGGGCAGGGGCTGCCGCCTTCGGCCAGGTCCCCCCAGAGGCCCCGACCTTTCGGAGACTCCTCCTCACAGACACCCAGCCAGTCCGTGCTTCCCCTCTCAACTGTGTGTTAGTCCATCATACAGCGCGTCCGTAATGGAGGAAATTAGTCCTTGTGGGTTTTTACAGTTCTGCCCCTGCTTTTTGCTGTCATAAACAATGCTGATTTCATAACTAAGTATTAGTGCACTTAATTTTTCCCATTACAGTTAATTTCTGGATGTTGACAGTTAGGTCAAAGTGTTCTAGATATGTTTTTAAGGCTTCTTTGGTTATATCACCAAATGGGGAACTAGTCATTCTTTCCCAATGGCACTCTGCCAGCAATTTATATGAGTCCAAATAACAAGATTGCTTTAAGGGTTAGTTCGGTTAAGACTGTCTGAGAAATCAAACTGGACTTGGAATGCATAGTGAGCTTTGTTTTGTCACACTGTCTATTAGGTTTTTCAATGAAGAGAAAAGGTTGATTTTATATTAAATTCTGTAATTCTTATTTATATAGCTCAGTTTCTGAGTCAAAAAGAAAAATGCTTAAATCATAGTTTATACGCCCAAGTGTTATTAAAACAGACATGCTGCCCATCGGAGGTCTTTGCTGAACAGCATAGCGCTGTGGCGGCATCGCGGGCCTCTGCTAGCGCTGCGGGACTCACTGTGGGGCTGTGGGCCTCTGCTCCCGCTGCGGGACTCACTGCGGGACTCACTGCGGGACTGTGGGCCTCTGCTAGCGCTGCAGGACTCACTGCGGGACTGTGGGCCTCTGCTAGCGCTGCAGGACTCACTGCGGGACTGTGGGCCTCTGCTAGCGCTGCAGGACTCACTGCGGGACTGTGGGCCTCTGCTAGCGCTGCAGGACTCACTGCGGGACTGTGGGCCTCTGCTAGCGCTGCAGGACTCACTGCGGGACTGTGGGCCTCTGCTAGCGCTGCAGGACTCACTGCGGGACTCACTGTGGGCCTCTGCTAGCACTGCGGGACTCACTGTGGGACTCACTGCGGGGCTGTGGCCTCTGCTCGCGCTGCTGGACTCACTGCGGGGCTCACTGCGGGGCTGTGGGCCTCTGCTCGCGCTGCGGAACTCACTGCCGCTGCCAGTCTGCGTGGCCTTCAGCTTGGTCTCACAATGTGAGGATATTCTCAGTTTATCAGCAAAGACATACACTTCTTGCTCTTAAAAGGGTTAACAGGGAGATGTTGCCTTTCCTGGCCAAGGTTCCACTGCACTTCATTTCTGCAGGTTTTGGATTCAGAGAGAAAGCGCTTAAAAAATTAGCAGCAGCCGTGCGTTTCAATGACAGCTTATATTTTTTGGAGGAGATTTTTAGGGCACAGTTGCTCTAAAAGTTAAATGTCATTCCCCCCAAAAGTGTGTAAAAAGTCACAGTTTCATATTGAAGTTTGTATATTTTTAAACTTGTATAAAGATTTAAAGAATTTAAATGGATCTTTATACATATGCTGAACCAACCAACCTCCCTCCTTCCCTCCCTCCTTCCCTCCCTCCCCGTGTCCGGTGGGGCCTGTGCGACAAGCAGCTCCTGCCCCCTGTGTGCAGTGCAGCGCGCAGGTGCCCTCCCGTCACTGCAGGGAGCAGAGGCACCGCTGTCAGAGCCTCCGAGTGAGAGTGAGGGTGCAGCTGTGGGCAGGGAGCGGGTCCTCTGCCAGGCGTCCAGGCAGAGCCCAGCAGCCGAAGTCTCTGCCTGCCGCCCTGTTAGGATGGGAGGTGCGGGGACGATGCAGCCTGGTGCTTGTCATGGACTGTGTGGAGCCATGGCGGGGAAATTCACGTTTACTGTCCATTTGGCATTTTAAGTTTTTTGGTGTCACGTTCATCCAAATCTGTGTATTGTGCAGGTGCCCCCTGCTGAGACAGTCCCTCAGATCAAGAAAGAAAAGCATAGCACCCAAGCCAAGAACAGAGCCAAGAGGAAACCTCCGAAAGGAATGTTCCTCTCCCAAGAAGACGTGGAGGCCGTGTCTGCGAACGCCACTGCGGCCACCACGGTGCTGCGCCAGCTGGACATGGAGCTGGTCTCCATCAAGCGCCAGGTACCCGCCCGAACTGGGGAGCTGACGAGGCCTTAGGGGGTCACTGGTCACACGCGGATGCTCTCCTCCCACACACCTCCAAAGGGCACTTGCCCTAAGGAGTTGGGCAGAAGATCTTAGTACTCGCTCACTGCTTTTTCTTGAATTCACTTTGAAGTCGATGTCAAGTGTGTGCATATAGATGCTTGTGTGTGTGTGTGTGTGTGCGCGCTCACTGACGCCCACACGGCGAACACGTCCAACTAACCTCTCTCTGGGCCAAGAAATGGCTGTTGCCTCAGAAGCCCCACTCGCGTCCCCTCGATGACTGTCACCCCAAGCACAGCAGCGCCCGCTCCACTCGTGCCTCTTGCTCACCCCGCCTTCTCCAGCGCGTGGCCACGATTCTGACTTTAACACCACCAATGATTGCGATGCACTTTTGGATTTTATAGAAAAACTAGAGGCCTGGTGCACAAAAGTCGTACACGGGGAGGGTCCCTAGGCATGGCTGGCGATCAGGGCCGATCGGGGCCTTCCAGCTGCCAGTCGGGCCTTCCTTCTTTCCACACTGCACTCTGGTGGTCAGCACACGTCATAGGGAGCAATCAAACTCCCGAGGGGACAATTTGCATATTAGGCTTTTATATCTATAGATGACATGATGTGGTTTCTTGCATGTCTGGTTTTCATGTAATGTGAGAGCATCCATGTAGTGTAGAGCCGTGGTTCTCATTCTTTCTCACTGCTGGGTAAATGTCTGGGTTCCCCATTTGGGGCTATTACAAATAATCCTGATGTGAACATTCTTCTGTGTGACCCTTGCACTGTGCATGTGTCCTTGTGGAATTGCTGGGGTAGGGGGTATGCACAGAAAGCAGCGAGTGTGGGCTGCAGTGCGAGGTTCCCCCCCGATCACCACTGGTGCGATGTGGGCTGCAGTGCAAGGTTCCCCCGATCACCACTGGTGCGATGTGGGCTGCAGTGCAAGGTTCCCCCGATCACCACTGGTGCGATGTGGGCTGCAGTGCAAGGTTCCCCCGATCACCACTGGTGCGATGTGGGCTGCAGTGCAAGGTTCCCCCGATCACCACTGGTGCGATGTGGGCTGCAGTGCAAGGTTCCCCCGATCACCACTGGTGCGATGTGGGCTGCAGTGCAAGGTTCCCCCGATCACCACTGGTGCGATGTGGGCTGCAGTGCAAGGTTCCCCCGATCACCACTGGTGCGATGTGGGCTGCAGTGCAAGGTTCCCCCGATCACCACTGGTGCGATGTGGGCTGCAGTGCAAGGTTCCCCCGATCACCACTGGTGCGATGTGGGCTGCAGTGCAAGGTTCCCCCGATCACCACTGGTGCGATGTGGGCTGCAGTGCAAGGTTCCCCCGATCACCACTGGTGCGATGTGGGCTGCAGTGCAAGGTTCCCCCGATCACCACTGGTGCGATGTGGGCTGCAGTGCAAGGTTCCCCCGATCACCACTGGTGCGATGTGGGCTGCAGTGCAAGGTTCCCCCGATCACCACTGGTGCGATGTGGGCTGCAGTGCAAGGTTCCCCCGATCACCACTGGTGCGATGTGGGCTGCAGTGCAAGGTTCCCCCGATCACCACTGGTGCGATGTGGGCTGCAGTGCAAGGTTCCCCCGATCACCACTGGTGCGATGTGGGCTGCAGTGCAAGGTTCCCCCGATCACCACTGGTGCGATGTGGGCTGCAGTGCAAGGTTCCCCCGATCACCACTGGTGCGATGTGGGCTGCAGTGCAAGGTTCCCCCGATCACCACTGGTGCGATGTGGGCTGCAGTGCAAGGTTCCCCCGATCACCACTGGTGCGATGTGGGCTGCAGTGCAAGGTTCCCCCGATCACCACTGGTGCGATGTGGGCTGCAGTGCAAGGTTCCCCCGATCACCACTGGTGCGATGTGGGCTGCAGTGCAAGGTTCCCCCGATCACCACTGGTGCGATGTGGGCTGCAGTGCAAGGTTCCCCCGATCACCACTGGTGCGATGTGGGCTGCAGTGCAAGGTTCCCCCCCCGATCAGAGGTTCCCCCCGATCACCACTGGTGCGATGTGGGCTGCAGTGTGGTTCCCCCCCCGATCACCACTGGTGCGATGTGGGCTGCAGTGCGAGGTTCCCCCGGATCACCACTGGTGCGATGTGGGCTGCAGTGTGAGGTTCCCCCCGATCACCACGGGTGCGATGTGGGCTGCAGTTCTCTGTGGGGAGTTGTCTTGTGCCTGAGCGAGTGCCGGCAGCGTCTCTGACCTTCACCCACCAGATGCTAGCAGTGCCCCCCACCAGCTGTGGCAACAGAAATGTCCCAAGGTGTGAACTGGCCCGGGAAGAGGGGGCGCAAATCGTCCGTTTCTGTTTTAAGGCGTTTCACTCTCCTCGTGGTATCTTTTGAGTCACAGAAATTCTTAACTTGAAGTCGCCCAGTTTCTCACTCTTGTCTTCTATGGTTAGTGCTCTTTGAGTCTGGTAACAGCCTTCCTGCGGTTAGGAAGATATTCCGGCATGTGATCCTAGTGTTGTTTTGCCTTTTACATTTTAAAAATGTTTTCATTTTATGTTATTTTTTTCAAACATCACCATTTATTTCCTCTATGCCCCATCCCTCCACTCATCCCCTTTCACCCCCTCAATCATCACACTGTTGTCCGTGCCCAGTCTCCCTCCCCAAACATTCACTCCCCCAGCTGTCAGCCTTCTCTCTCTCTCTGAGTCTGTCTGTTTTACTTATTAGCTCAGTTTGCGCTTTAAATTCCATCTATGAGTGAAATCATGTGGTACTTGTCTTTCTGACCAGCTTATTTCGTGTAGTGTGATGTTCTTCAGGTCCATCCATGCTGTCGCAAACGGTAAAAAATTTTCTTTAAAAAAAAATTCTTTTTACAGCAGAGCAGTATCCCGTTGTGTACATGCACCACTGCCTTTTAGCCGCTCGCCTGCTGATGGACACTGTTGCTTCCACATCTTGGCTGTTGTAAATGACGCTACAGTGGACATGGAGATACATACATTCTTTTGAATTAGTGTTTCGGGTTTCTTTGGATAAATTCCCAGAAGAGGAATCACTGGGTCATAAGGCAGTTGCATTTTTCAAAGTTCTTTATGAATTTTGGATATTAACTCATCAGAGATATCATTGGCAAATATGTTCTCCCATTCAGTGGGCTGTCTTTTCATGTTGTTGATGGTTTCCTGTGCTGTGCAAAAACTCTTCAGTTTGACGTGGTCTCATTTGTTTATTTTTTCTTTTTGTTTCTTTTTGTTGCCCTTGGCTAAGGAGATATATCAGAAAAAATATTGCTACGAGAAATGTCCGAGGTTTTACTGCCTGTTTTCTTCTAGAATGTTCATGGTTTCAAGTCTGAGCTTTAAGCCTTTAATTCATGCCGGGTGCATCCCTGTGTGGGGTAGAAGGTGGGCGGCTTGCTTTTGTCTGCCTGTATCTGTCCACGCCTCTTACAGTTTGGACGTCGGTCTGCCCGGAGGTTTTTCCGTGTGTGCTGCTCTGTGCAGGGTCAGTGTGGCGTGCGGGTTCCTAGTGAACCGTGTGCTGCGTGTTGAAAAGATTGCTCTCCCCTGCTGCAGGGCTGGGGCCTTTGTTTTCCTTGCAGCTTCCGGTGGTCAGTGCAGGTTTTCTGTCCGCTCCTTGTCTGTCTGTCCTCCTTCACAGCAGGTACTGCCTGGAGGGAGAGTGTAAGTCGGGGGTCTGTAGTACAAGTCCTCCAGGATTGTCTTGGCCATTCACGGCCCTTTTCCATTTAAATTTAGAATCATCTTCTCAATTCCCAGAAAAATAATTCTGTTAGAATCCTGATTGCGATTGTACTGAATTTATAGATCAAAGTAGAGAATTAACCCATGAAATAGCCCATGCTTACCGGGCCTCTCTTGTAGGTCTTATCTGCCCTTCGTTAGAGTCACTCCTAGATATTTAGCGCTGTTTTGATGTTCTTGTAAAGGACATTGTTTTTTAAATTAACCCTTTTCTGCCTCCTCACTCTTCCTCTGGCAAATCAATACAAAGAAAAGAGGTGTAACCCTTTTCACTGTGGATGCTGGCACGAGAAGTAGCGTGTTTGTTGTCTGAGTCTCATTTTGCCTGGGACGTCGCAGCTGAACTTCACCTGCGTAGCCTAGTGCTGCCCTTTTTGCGCTTCCCCTTTCTGCCCCCCCTCCCGCCCCTCCTCTCTCTCTGTCAGGATTCAAGATCAAGGCAGATGTCGGCTGAGGGTTACTTTAGTTTTTGCTGCTTTGACTTGTTTGAAGGTCAAATAGGTCAGCTCTCACTTTCGGGGGTGAGAAGAGTGGGGTCCGAGGCCCATCTGCCTTGTGGTGCAGGAGGGAGCGAGCCCAGGACAGCAGGCCCGGGGCCGAGGCATGGCTCCTGGCGTGTGGCTGGCGCAGCTGCACTCTAATCTCAGGAGAACCACTCAGCCTCCCAGGCCTCTTTTCAGAGAGGAGGTCAGTCCTCGCTGCCCACCTTCCAGGGCGCCAGCCGAGGGCCACCCACCTTCCGGGGTGCCAGCCGAGGGCCACCCACCTTCCGGGGCGCCAGCCGAGGGCCACCCCACCTTCCGGGGCGCTAGCTGAGGGCCACAGCTCGGGGCATTGGGAGCTCTGCTTGCATGGGAAGCGCTTGCCCCGATCAGGCTGTGGGCTCCCGGGTGCATCTGCCCTTCCTCTGCGGGACTCCCCGCCCCCTGCTGCTGCACCCCTCTTCCGCAGCGCTGCTGGAGCTGTGGCGGGGTAGACAAGAGGAGAGCAGGGCGAAGAGCAGGGCTTTTTAACTTAAAGGTGGCTCCTCGTTCACATGGTCCAAGAGAACGGGCTTCGAGTCTGACTTGCTGAGGCGGAGACAGGTGTCTGCCGCCCACAGTCTCGCGCTCCTGCCTGGCGCACCGGCCTCTGTGGCAGGTTATCTGGGGCCCGTGTTTGGTTGTATGTCAGGGAACCATTCACCTGGAAATGACAGAAAACCTGACCACCAGCAGCTGAAACAATTAAGGAAGTATTTTTTAAAAGGTGTTTTTATTGATTTCAGAGAGAGGAAGGAAGAGGGAGAAAGAACCCTCAGAACTGTTTATTAGCACTGCCTTCTCCGCACTACTGACCATTTCTCTTTCTCCCACAAGCCATGGAGCCACCAGCACCGTCCAGGTTCTCTTTAGTGTCACTGACTTGTGCCTCGGACCCTTACCTGATGTCAGATCACTCTCCTGCACCTGCGGGCGCCAAGCCCAGAGCCCGCTGAGCAGAGCGGGGCCCCACTGTGCCCGCTGCCTGTGGACTAGCCCACCAAGCCCTACTTCAGAGTTTTTTATTTTAAAACTAGAGGCCCAGTGCACGAAATTTGTGCACAGGTAGGGTCCCTAGGCCTGGCCGGGGATCAGGGCTGATCTGTGGGGTGACCAGCAGGGCGATCAGGGGGCCCCCGCTGGCCCCCGCCTTGGCTGGCCTGGGGGCAGCTCCTGTGTTGAGTGTCTACCCCCTGGGGGGCAGTGTGTGTCATAGTGAACCGTCATTCTTACGTTTGGTCGATTTGCATATTAGGCTTTTATTACATAGGATAATAGTTTTTTCTTTCTTAGATTCAGAACATTAAACAGACCAACAGTGCTCTCAAAGAAAAACTTGACGGTGGAATTGAGCTGTACCGACTTCCTGAGGTAGGACTGTCAGCGTCATCACAGAGGCCACCCTGCGCTCT